TTGGTGCTGCGCTAGGTAGCTGGCTATGGCGTTTTATATGCATTTCTCCATTACATCCAGTAAGATGCACAAGAAACTTGTCGGCTGGTTATTCCCCAGCAACTCCCGTCGTCCGGTTTTGAATACGGGGATAACCTTGGTCGTTTTCCATTCGTTTGGGATAACGGTTTTATTTAGGCTGCGGTTAAAAAGTGCCGCAAGTGGTGGTGCAAGATATCTATCAGGGGTTGGATAATGGCTGGGTGTAGCCAGTTGGGGCCAGCCTTCTTGTGCTTTTTTAGGATTATGAGCTCTACGGCTACTTCAACAATGGTGACATCTAGTTGAGGCATCTACTGTACAAGATGTGGAGGCAAGGGGTCCGGTTAGTGGCCGTCATGTTATAGGTAAACGGGTTGAAAATGACTTAGCAGAACTTCGACCTTTTCATTATTTGTTATCGCAGGTATGCCTGGGAAGAGTTCAATGTTGCCTACTGACTCCTTTAGTTTTCCCTTGAACTGCACGTAGTTGAAGTAAGCTTTAGGACGTGATTTGGTACGTCTGGAGAGCGCTACTTTATACACAGCACGGTACCGTTTTTGCAGCTTGGCAGCATCATCCCTGACTTTCCTGTACGCTAAGTATCGCCTAAGCCCCTTGTTTGCCTGAAACAGTCTCCAGGTTCTATGCACGTTAGGGACGGGTCGGTGATGAGACAACCGGTTTCACGTTGAATCGGATAAAGCGAGAGGTGGGTGAAGCTCCATCCCACTTATGACTGCAATATTCACGTGTAGGGCGAACCTAAGATTTTTAAAGCGGGAGGAGGTGAATGGTGGAGAAAATAAGCCTGGTGCGGAAGATAACTTACGGGAATTTCCATTTTTTGGATGCTACTCATTTTATTGAACGAATTAAAAGTTATTTTTTTCGTGTTTTTACCGGTGACTCCAGAAGCCTTAGTGTGGTCGGGGATGGGTATCTCACGTTGTGGCTCATCGTTCCCACCTTGCATCTCGCAAAACGCTCCAATACTACTATCTCAAATAGCTTTTACTGAGGAAGCTATACTCACTGCCATATCGCGGTAGTGATTTCCCACTTAGATGAGAGGACGAAAAACCAGTATCCGAGGTTATAACCAGATCAGTGAACTGGCAGCTCACAACTTTGAGGAGATATCTTTCCCCTTTCTTCTTAAGTATGTTGGTGCTGCAGTGCGTTTGGAATCTTCCGAACAGCGTTTTAACATAGCATCTTTTGTGGCTGTGCTGATGATTACTTTCAAGTTTAGAATTTGATCCGTGTACGTTGCTTTGCGGACGACCATTGTCTCCAGTTTTCCTGATGGTGTTCTGCTGTTAAAGATGTCCAAAAGAATTTAGTTGTTTATAATTCTCCGTCTCCATTGTGAATTGAGGCCATTGAATGTGTTACTGATGATTTTAGCTTATCTAGCTTGGATTAGCGCATTCTATTTTTCAGGGGCACCAGGCCCTTTTGATGGTGTTGGGTGTGGGTTTCACTCCTTGGGAGATCGGTAATTTCCCACAAGATAATGCATTTAAATATTACTGATGATGTTGTGTGTTCTTTCTAGTTCCGACTTCTTCAAGATGACGAATGTGTCATCAACGCATCGGAGCCAAAGTTTTGGCATAATCTTTAGTAGTACCTCCTTCTCCAGCTTTTGGTCAGAGTATTTGCCCACAACGGCTATACTCGCAACTTCATCAAAGGAACTCTAACCCAAAGAAAGAAACGATAGATGGAAAATGGGGAACAAGAACAACCCTGCCGTACATCAAGGATGTTTCGGAAATGACAGCAAGACTGCTCAGATCATATGGAATCCAAGTCGGCCACAAACCAACCGTCATTCAAAGGAGAACTCTGTCAAAACGAAAGGAGAGAACAGTGGAGAAGGACAACAGTAGTGTTAGCTAAAAACAAACTGCAAGAACTGCTCAAAACATTACATTAAAAACTGGGATAAAACTGTGAACAACATTCCGAGAGCACCAATCGGCAGTCAGGTGACGTGACCCACTATCTGTGCTTTCCCTCCCCAAAGATCAAGAAGGACATCAGTTTGACTTCGATTCAGTGAAAATTATCGACCAAGCCCGGTTAAAACACGTCAGAGAATTTCTCGAGGCCTGGCACTCTTTAATCAACTCAATAAACAGGCACATCGAAGTGGATCACGTGTACACGTCAATGCAACTCAAGGATTAAAAGACGTAACAAGAGAGGTCACGTCGTGACTTGAGAACGGACCGAAACCGCAATCAGGACGGAGGGACAACCACCTCCCCTACCACTTTCACTCCCACGCACCAGTTTAACGGCAAACGGAGTCAAACACAACGAGAAAAAGGGACAAAAAAGGTCGGTGGAGAAGAACACTTATAAAAACGAACGGATACAAGCGGAAGACTGCCACTTCACAAGCACTGATGATGTAACCTCGGCTGGTGATGAAACGTTTGCAAACAAATTGCCAAGCTCGGCGAACAGGCGAAATAGTGTATCATCTACTGCAGAGGAGGTTAGTGTTTCTGGACTGCAGTCCATCGGCACATAAGCCAGGATGACGAAACGACAGAGCGTTTTAGTCCCATTACGAGATGCACTTACCGATCCTTATAGACAGATGGCACAGAGTCGACTATTGGTTGGAATCCAGTCGAATAAAACTGCTTCTGCACGTGCACTTAGTGTTATTCCCACATCATCCTAATAGGCAGGCTCTGCCATGGGAACTCCGGAGAGTCGGAGGGGGAACTAGCTTGCAGAATCCGGAGACGATAAAGTGAGTGATACTCGAATCCTGTAGGCGAGTCTCAGTAAGGCAGAAAACGTCCATGGCGTTTCCGGTGATCGAACGAGTGTTTACTGAACCCCAACTTGCGTAAGTGTTAGAACGTTGAAATTTGCTAACTTCAGCTGCGACCGCGGCGCGAATACTGTTTTCGGAATAACCTGAGCGGATGCTTATATCTTTCGCATGGGCAAAATACTATGATTTCTGCTGGTGTCTTGAGCAACACCCTGTTGGAGACTCGGAATAATGGGTAGTAAACCGAGAATATGAAATTTCAACAATGGAGGAAGGGGAAGAAAGTGATCTGTTGGTGTGCTAACGCATGAATCTGTGGAGCCAACACCTCGGTTAAAGATCGAATTCCATGCCCTATTCCACGTCGCCTTCCTGTGTGCTGTCCGCCTGATGGACTCATCATCACAACGAGTGAGGCAAACATCAAAATACACTAGTTGATTGTTTGCTTCATTTTTCATCGTGAATTTCA